TGTGCTAGCCTCTTTTAAAAAGCAAATGCAAACTGCAAGAACATATTTATATTCCACTACTTTATTCATTATACACATGTAAAAAGACAGAAAGGCATGCAAGCAGAAAATTATGTTTGCAGACTAACAGCCTGCTATGTGTGATAATGGAGGGAATGGGATAGGAAGGATGGGATAGAGTAGTGGTTTTGATTAATAATGCAGTGTGTAGGGCCTGGTAATTGGTCTCTTTTGATTTGAAGTGGTACAGAGTCAAGTATGTGAAGTTTGTAGTTTGTTTTTTTTWTTTTTTGCATTTGATCTTCATATTTTATATGCACCATCATCCTATAAGTCTAGCATTCTTAGAGAAAAGCTCTGTTTGTCGTAACAGCTATTTATTATGATTCCAAAGAGCATGGGGACTTGTGCATGCAAAGTGTGCACATTAGGTAATTTGTTTTTTAAGAACACTGCTATTCTTTTCTGGCCATAGTCTTCTTGGGCTACAGTTAGACATTTGTGCAAATTATTTGAAGTGGGGTTTAGTGTAAATATTACAAACCATTAACATCTTGTCAGAGTCCAAGCAGCCACTATTTTAAAACCTTTTGCAATAAAGTTAGTTTTACATAAYATGCCTAATTCTGCCGGAAGTGCCCAGGGCTGCACCAGAAGTGAAACAGAGCTGCTRCTGATCTTTGCACTGGCAAATAAGTATAAAGTTCTATGTAATAACTATACAAATTCAAAATTGATGGCAGTGTAAGGTTTGAGAAAGCAGTTTTTGCATAAACGGCTGTAAAATGTATTTGTTTTGAGACAGCAGCCATCTGTAGTCTTGGTCTCACTTTAACTAGCCATTAATCAATTTGGTCAAATTTCTATTTCTATTTTTTTTATTAAATTCTTAAATTTACGTATGTTTTTATTTGTCTAAGGCATATTATATTCAATTGCATAAAGTACTGTTTTATTTTTAAAGCACAGACTTGACCTTCYTCATTATCTGCATCACTAGAGAGTTGTTCAGGTTAATTTTATCAATTTGTTTGCTTCTCTTCCATATTTTGGCAGGCGCCCACATAAAAATTGTTCAGTTTTTTTTAAACTAATCATTTCTATTTTCAGCAGAAGACAGGTCCAAATGGTTTTAAAGTGGAAATGAATGGGGAATACTAATACCAGATGTCATGGTAGCTCCGTTGTTAGAGCTTCTGCCTGTCAGCAAGAAGGTCGCCGGATCAAATCCAGACCCAGGACCTTTCTGGGTAGAGTTTCCATGTTTTCTTCGTACATGAGTGGGTTTTCTCTGGGTACTCTGGTTTCCCCTCCACAGACCATAAACTTGACTGTTAGGCTAATTGGTAACTCTAAATTGTCCCTAGGTGTGAGTGGATTGTCCATAGTGGCTTCCACTGTTGTGGTACCAAAAAAATAATAATAATCCGTTGTGGTTTTATCATCCGGTATGTCGTGGAAAGAATGGTCAGAAACACGGCGAAAATGTGTTAGAAAGGAAATAGTCTTGCCGGGT